AAGAACTATTAACCCAAGAATGTGGAACCAGAATGGATCTTTCACTTTAGCTAATAGAAGGCCATTATGTGTGTTTCATTAAAATAAAGGTCAGTAGGGTAATATTTACCCTAAATTCATTTGAACCATAGTGAGATTTATCCTTGCCCTTCAAAATAGCTTTACATTCTTAGCTTAGGTCCATAAAAGTTGACATATTTATTTTGAAAATATATAATAGGCTCATAGCCACATCAATTTTTTATTTAGCTGAGTGGCAAATCAATTAACCACATTTTGCTGTAGTTGTCTTGTCTAAGACATTCAAGTTAAATTCTGGAACTAATAATTTATGTTTTGGTCCCATATTTTGTGATATGATTTTTACCAGTTGACCCTTTTGTCCACCAATCCTGTGTGCTTTGCAGAGTCACTAATAAGCATGAACAGTTCATGGATTTGGTGTGCTCTTTGGCAGAAATGAAAAATTCTAAGATTTTGGGCAAGAACCCAGCAATCATAAAATTCCTTTGCAGCTGCCCAGGAAGAACACCAAGTTCCACCAACACCCTACTATGCAGAGGATGTCCTTCAAAATATTCACAAACATAGTTTTAAATTGATGTGAGTGTAGAGAAATGGTCACACTTCAACTTTGCAGGTAAGACTGTAAACTGGTGCTGTGGATGGTAATTTGAGACTATTATTCAAAAATGGATGTTTGGCCTCTAGGAAATTTTCCTAAGAAAATTAAAGATATATGTACAAGAATGTTTCAGAGCATTAATTTCAGTGTTGAAATTTGGAAAACTCTAAAATTCAACAATAAAGGATTAATCAAATGAAATGTGATACATCCATTCAATGAATTTTCAGGGGGGAAAAATCAGTCTTTTTCATGTAGAAGAGCTTTTTAGGTAGAAAGGACCAGCTTCCTCTTTTCACTTTGTTGAGGCATCCCTGTGGGTCACATCCTCCTGGGATAAGATAGCTGCTCTTCCTCTTTCTAAGAAGCTTCAGTGGTGGACAGGTGGTAGCAAAGAGAACCTAGGTTACGGCCAAGGGATAATAGAGATGTAGACTTTCTACACGTGCATTGTAGGATTCTACAATCATAGGCACTAAACTGTGGGCAGTAGGATCATAAAGGGTCTTTTGTGTTCCCTGAATTGCCTGAATATTTTACAATGTTTTATCCGGGGGGGGGATCTGTTTTGAAATATAAAAGAAAAAGCTACCAAGCCCACCCAATGCACAACTACCTTGAAGCTAGAGTGATAGTTAATAAATTAAGCACGATAAACACAAAAACCCATGTTATTAACAAAGCAGTAGCAAGATAATAACATAGCTACAAACCAACATTTGAGTCACTGCGTGCTTCCAAGGAGCGTGGTTTCAGATGCTCATCTAGTATGGATTATGTCATAGCAGTCACTGGCAATTCAAAGCAATTTTGACTTAATCATGGATTGCAGAAAGTATAAATGTTAAAAAAGATTCTGTTCTCTTTCTATTGTTTGCTGCGTGCACATGACGGCAAAGAAGGACTGTTTTGATGAGAAAATTGCCATTTCTATAATTTACAGCATGTCAATATCACACAGAGAAAAGCTAAGTGCCAGATGCCTAGAAGAATGCTGCTGAGTGGCCCCCAAGCCAGTTCTAAAGGCCCAGTGGTGTCCCTGACTCACAGGGTTTGAATAATGACTATGCAGCCTTTATTCTCTCTCAATCACTTCTGCTTGTAATTAAAAAGAATACATAGCATGCTTAAGTAGATCTATAATTTAAGAGAAGAAAAAGGTTGGTGTGTGTGTGTGTGTGTGTGTGTGTGTTTATTTTAAGGACTTTGCTCTAGATGTATTCAACCATTAGATTATTTTATGAAGCTGAAATGGGTAAATAAATTATCAAGGACTGGCACCTACCATGTGATGTAGTTCTTTTTTTTCCTTCTATCCCCCCATACCCTCTTCCTCCTCCACCACCCCCTCTCCCTCACCAGAGCAATCACCACACTGTTTGTTGTCCATGTCAATGATGAAGTGGTTCTTAAACAATGCTTGGGGGCAGAGAATCTTATCTGACTCAGGGGATATAGTGGCCTTAAGCTTATTCATTATCTGCACAACTGAGGACATTACCAAGGCCAAGGCCATGTGAAAGATGGCCTTGAATCCACATCATTCAAGAAGCTGACCGTGGCCTATTTAAGTGAGGAAATTTAGCCTTCAAAATGTCCAAGGGAACTAAGCACACAAAACAACTTGCAAGAATGACGTGCTCTTTTCTGCCAATAATGCTATCGTAATTTAAAATTTTACCTTTGTGCTTGACGGTTATCATCACTGTGAAAGATTCATAGTCAACAGGATTATTTCAATTTCAATGACTGGTAAAAGGAGCAGTTTTGGCAATTACATTTACTATCAACAGCAGTGCTGCCATCTATGCATGATGTCATTAGGGCTTTCTGTAAATGCCTGAAATGGCAGCATGCCTGGAAATAAAAAATAAGACCTTTTAAAACAGTGAGCTTTGTGTTTCCATTGACATAAGACCCAGCTTTAGTCCCAGTGTTTGGGGGAAGGGTGATATGGAAAGTAGAGAACTCTGGCCTGCTCTGACTGGAGTCACATTTTCTTAAATCATCTTCTGTCTTTGACATATTCGAGAACCAAAGAACGGAACATGCATTCACACTGCAGCCTGGTTCAGCCCTGCAGATGGCACTGGCCATTAGCAAACCCTTTTGTCCCTGTGATCAGCAGGAGCCTTGACCTTGGCTCTTGGGTTGAGGTGACAGATGTGTGAAGCTGAGACCTGCAACCATCCCATGGAATAACTTGTACCTTTCACATCAAGGCGAGCTCTAACTAAGCTGATGGAATTTGGCCTTTTAAAATGTAACTTGAAAACAAACAAATTTCATGACCTTAAGGTCCTGACTTTCAACCCTGCTCCTTAGAGGTCCAAGATGGGACAAGACTCCCCAGCATGAAAGCATAGGTATTTATTGTTCCAATCACTACGGCCCTTGCTCAAGTCCACCCAGGAAGCAGCTGTCTTAAAATCCAAGCCTCTTCTTCATTGTTTTCAGTCTATTGGGACAAGTGGTAGAAGCCCACAATGCATTTCCAGGATGGCACAAAGCAGAAGTTCCTAAGCAAGCATTCGTCTAGCAATGGTCTCGTCTAGCAAGCATTCCTGTCATTATGTCAAAGGAAGCCAGAGGACTTCCTTCAGAGGATCCAGGTGAACTCTGCTCTCTTTTGGCCCCTACACTTAAATAAGCAGCTAAAGATACAAGGAATGGTAGGTTACATTCTGTTCGCTCAAATAAACTACAAATTCTTTCAATTAAGAGCCATGTCCGTATTTCTTTGTATCTCCTAGTGCAGTGATGGCAAACCTTTTGAGCTCGGCGTGTCAGCATTTTGAAAAACCCTAACTTAACTCTGGTGCCGTGTCACATATAGAAATTTTTTTATATTTGCAACCATAGTAAAACAAAGATTTATATTTTGATATTTATTTTATATATTTAAAAGCCATTTAACAAAGAAAAATCAACCAAAAAAAATGAGTTCGCATGTCACCTCTGACACGCGTGTCATAGGTTCGCCATCACTGTCCTAGTACCTAACACAATTCCTTAAATATACAGGGTGTCCCCCCCAAAAATGTATACACATTTTGAATAATTATTAATTTCAATGGGTTAAATCTGAAAAGAAAGAAACATCAATTGAGTTACCAGCTGTTTGTGTGTATACATTCTTTGGGGACACCCTATATTAAGGACTCAATAAACTCTGCTGGCTGACTGATTGATAGGGATGGTTTTCTATTCATTTTCATATCTTCAGCACATAGATGGCTTTTGCTGATTACCAGGATAGGACAGTTTTGAATAAATAAATGAAAAAAGAATGCTACATTAAGACATTAGTTAATAATGTCTTAGGACAAGTCACTAAGAGAGAATTAGCAGAAAATCTGTTAAAAATCTTCTGCTGAGTCTTAGTGTATAAAATAGGTAAGATCAGTGGTGCCTGATTGAAGAAGGACTGAGGACCCAGGATCCTGCCTCCTCAGTGGCTCTGCCCTCCCCTGCCATGTGGATCCCATAGAAATCTCTATGGAAGCTTAGAACTGCAAAGAACTCAGTCTGAAAAACCACCACCTAAACAGAGTTTGGTAATGTTTATAATTTCATTTATTTTCTATTTTTACCTTTTTTTATTTATTAACAATTCAGTATGTGGATAAAAGACCTTACTTATTTTCTTACTTAAATGCATTGCTTTACTTCCTCCACCCCCCCCTGACCCCCCGACCCCTCATTTCTACTGGTAGCAAAAATGAGATGAATTGGTGGTCCCAGACTAATTTGCCTTCTTAATTTTTCTGTGGAGGAGAGAATCTTTAAATCCTATCCCATCCATGCTAGGTCTCAGTCTTAGGCAGTAGTTTAGGGGCTTAGACTCTATAACTAGAAACAAGCAATTTGCATTGCCTATCACTCCTGGCTGATGAAAAAACTGTATAGATGTCATCATCAGACCCAGGGCCTGGCCTGCAGGGAAAAGATTATTGCTAGAGAAGTGAAAACTGCTCACTCCTTCAGCTGCTCATCACCCATTCGTTTGATAAAACCACCCACCCGTCAGACACTCCCTGGGCATCTATAGAGAGTACCATGAGAACTGGGGTTTTGGCTTGCTCATTCCCCACAGAGTCTAGAATAATAAGAATAAGGTAGGTACTCAAAAAATATGTGGGGGTCAAAGACCTTATTCTTGAACTCATGACATTGGGCTCTCAGAGTGGGCAAAACTCAATTGTCTACTGCAATTTCAGAGATAAACATTACAACCTTATAAGAGCTTCCTCAAAGCTAAGCTCTATTTCCACAGTTACAGCTACAGCTTAATCCTATCCTAGTGTCCACTTGAGTGAAATAGGAATCAGTCCTACCTGCAAAGTCCCTAAGGCAAAAAAAATGAACTTTACACTTTAAGACATAAGACTAATTTGTTTATTTGGTGTGTTCTGTAAGTGGAGAAGGGAAAATTTGGGGAAATAAATAAATAAATAATCAGACAAACGGAGACTTGAGGGCAAAGGAGCTGAGGGGGAGGAAGCGGAGTCTTTGCATAGTTCTAAACGAACAGGAGGTGGCAGCAGTAGGCAACGCGGGTTCTCAGCAGAAATGCAGCACTTGCAAAAACCAGGGACAGGAGGCTTTGAGAAAGGTCAGAAGGTGACTAACTATTTCTTTGTCATAGAGACCCGTGGTGTGGAACATCCGTCCTCTCTACTGGGGACGGATGCAGCCTCTCACAGGATCTGCCTGGGCATCCCGTACCCCGTCATGCCCGCCTGGGAGGCGCCCTTGTTGCTGCCCATCTGCAGGCCTATCACATTCTGTCCTTGGCGAAGCTGCTCCTCTGAAAATCCTCTCCGATTCTGCTGGGCTTTCCTGGGCAGAGGGAGGGAGATGGAATAATGTCATTCTGACGGTTTTCAAACCCTTCCCAAGATAGGTAGTTAGACAGGCTTTGGTGGGGGCGGTCACCAGATAGAAGAGCAGGCCCTATCCTAGGCTACAGTCTGGCCATGAACTATGGCCCTACCCTGGACTATGACCCTACCCTGAGCTATGGTTCTATCCTAAGCTATAGTTTTACCCTGAGCTATGGCCCTACCCTGAGCGATGGTTCTACCACACGCAAGCCCTGCTGTAATGCATGAGCTCTCACTCCTTGGAAGCCCAGATGTTTTTCTAGAATTTCCAGCCAAGATCAGTAGCTGCCTCTCTGGGGACTTCACTCTTGGATAACTTTTCTGTCACCCTCTTTCTCACAGTTACTTCAAACCCTTATGAAAATTAAAACCAGCTCTTCTTACAAAGCATGTCATTAATCCCAGTCCACCCTTCCCTGTAAAGGCCAAGGGTTAAAGTTCCATTTTAGAGCTGAAGGACCTAGAAGTTATAAAGGGGAAATTTCTTACTCTAGACAAGAAGTCAGCAAACTTCAGTAAAGGGCCAGATAGTAACTAATTTTGGCTGTGGGGGCCATAGAGACCATGGCAGGTCATTAATAAAACTAGGACTGAAACCAGGATTTCAACTGGCCAATATTTAGGTGATTTTCAGACCAAGTTATTTTAAAATAACACAGACTTGTACCATTTTATAACTGTCAAAAAGAAGAAAAGGGGGTTAGGGAAATGAAGAGTCAGTTAACTGGTACAACATGTTCTTTTTTCTTCATCTCCCACTGAATTATTGGGTTGAGTTTCAGCTCCCTTACTACCCCCAACTCCTGAAGAAAACAACAAAACTCCATAGGAAAAGGCCCTTTACTGACGTGACTGTATAATTTATTACTCAATTCAGACCAGGCCACTTCTGAGAGTGCTATTAATTAATACACCAGGACAACAAGTATTAACCACTGTCTCAGGCAAATAGGACATATTTGCCCTTCATTATGTAGATAGGTAGGTAGGTAGGTAGATGATAGATAGATAGATAGATAGATAGATAGATAGATAGATAGATAGGTATGGAGAGATAGGAGAGAGAGAGAGAGAGAGAGAGAGAGAGAGAGAGAGAGAGAGAGAGAAAGAAAGATATTAGTTTGATTCATGGCTACTTAGGTCATAATAAAACCAAGTTCAGACATCAAGCCACCTCTGAGAAAAGCAATTTAGTCCTGCTCAATCTCAGAAGGAACAGAACCTGGAAGAAATGGTAACAAAGGCCTGACCATTTCTGCCCGGGGGGATGATGGCCTGAACATCAGCATCTTCCCTTGCTCTGGGGGACTCAGTTGTGGGGCCAGGAGTGCTTGTCCCTAGGGACTTTGTGTTGAAATAGCCTCCGGGAACTACAAGGCTTCAGATGCTCCCTTTCATTCCAGTCAACCTCTGCTCCCGCAGGGCCGAGAAAGGCTTTTACCTGTGAAACCAGGATGGCTCTCCCCGGTAGCAGCCGTCATCCTTGGTGACTGCAACGCTGCCTAAAGCCATCAGGGTCCTCTGCACAGCTGCCATGTCCTTCCCTGGAAACCAATGAAGAGATTCAAGCCAAGCATGTGTCAGGGCCAAGGAATCTGGAAAGAGAGGGCTGGGACTTCAGGAAGGGAGTTCTGATAAGGGGCTGCAGGCAATCACATTCAGGGGACAGGGATAGCAAATACTTCTCAAAGTGGCCTGCAGACAAGCAGAGCCCAACCTCTCAGAAAGAAAGAAACAAACACAAAAATCACCGGGCTCATTTTTTTCTATCTGATGCATACCAGAGATGCCAGTTTCTAACCCGTTCAGAGTTGCTGTATGAATCAGACACTCCAAAGACTTAGCAGCTCAGATCTAGGTATGTCCCCACTCTGAGCAGAGGCCGTGGCCTGGGTGGGTCCTGCTGGCTGTGGTGCGGAGAAGTCCTGTGGGCAGGCTGGTGGTGGATTACGGAAGAGGATTTTCCTCAGGACGGGAAAGAGAAAAGGAGACTGGAAAGAAACTGGTTGGATGGATTAACTGCACCAAACCCCAGGTGGCTTCTCTCTTTCACTTTATCTGGGTTAAAAGGATCTAAAATCACCCATGTGCATCAAATTGAGTATTCACATGGCTGTTTGGGCTGGAGGCCTGGCAAATGAAGAAAAACAAATCAACACAGAAGCACTCAAGTGACACAGATGACAGACCCTTTATTTTGTGCTGCTTGAAGGAGTTAATGGAGACAATAAATAAGTGGTAGGCAGGCGTGCATGAGAGAGAGAGAGAGAGAGAGAGAGAGAGAGAGAGAGAGAGAGGTGGGAGGGGAAGCACTGTTAGCTGAGATGGCCAGGGACCCCTAACCCACGGAGAAGGCAGTTAGAGCCTCCAGGTCAGCCTGCTCCTCCCATCTTTTCTCCCTTCCTCCCTTCCAGTTGACTAACATGTCCTGGACTGAGAAAGATGCTGCTGTGTGATTAGCCCTGAAATTTAGAACCAGATCCAAGGTCCGTACGAACCAGTTTGGAATGCAAAAGCTAAAGGCACAGGGTTAGAAAGGAAGGCAGCATTCAGCCTGCTGGGGAGTGGGGGAAGTTAAAGGACAAAGATTAAAAGGCTCCCTTCAGGCTGAGTGAGCCATCTGTGGGCTCTCCAGCCCAGCTGCTGCCGCGCAGTCACGGGAAATACAGAGTTCTGGGGGAAAGGCAGACGGGAAGTGAGAATGGAGTACAACTCTAATAAAATAAGCAATTAAGGCCTACAGAGGAAGTCCAGTTCAGGATGTCCATTTATTCAAAGATGAGAGAGACAGCAGATCCTTCTCTCCTCGCCTCTCTCCTCCGTCCCATTAACCAGGGGCGGTTTCCTGGATCCTGAGGCCTTGTGGGACTGGTTAATGGATACAGGGATAAAATGCTCTTAATGTAGAGTCCCCAAGATGCAAGGGACAGCTGGGGTGGTGGAGAATGGAGAATCTGGGCAGCAGAGGGAAGGAAGAGAGCACAAGGAACACTGAGAATTAAGAAAGAGGAAACAGAGATGTGGTTATTAGCATGATTTTTCTCTTCTGCAGATGAAAAACGTTTCTGTAATTGTCACTGAATAGCAGGATACTTGGATATTTTAAAAAAAAATAGAATCGCAGTGATGCTGTTCTGAAGGACCACTCTGGGAAGAGAGAGGCAGAGGGTCTGTTGTTAAGTAGTGAGTCATTAAAGAGGACCTAGAGAAATGATTAAGCACAGGGAGGCTTACAAAGGTTAGGGTGAATCACACATCTCCACTCTGTACAATGAGTGCGCTGGGGATGTTTCCGGTGGTTGGTATGTCCAGGTTCTGGGAATTTGTGGAGCTTGACAGCCAGCAACTCAGCCACAGACACTCTCCTGGAGCCATGGGTGCAGGAGCAAGTTCTGTTAACCGTAGACCCAAGCCTCCTTTGTGGAGCTGGCTAAAGTATATACTACATGAACCCAGAAAGGATGGAGGGAACTAAGTTGGGGGTAAAAGGAAGATATCTAGAACTATAAAGACCACCCCACCTAGAAAATGGAAAAGGAAGCAACTACACAATTGGGGCAAAAGAAGCTAGGGAAGGGGGCATTAGATAGGAACAACATAGAAAGGTTTCCCTTAAGAGAGTTTCCAAGGCCGAAACCGGTTTGGCTCAGTGGATAGAGCGTCAGCCTGCGGACTGAAGGGTCCCAGGTTCGATTCCGGCCAAGGGCATCGTACCTGGGTTGCGGGCACATCCCCAGTGGGAGATGTGCAGGAGGCAGCTGATCGATGTTTCTCTCTCATCGATGTTTCTGACTCTCTATCTCTCTCCTTTCCTCTCTGTAAAAAACCAATAAAATATATTAAAAAAAAAAGAGAGAGTTTCCAAGACAAAAGATTTGATGTAAATTATAGGCCAAACACTTTACCATACGCGACATTGACCCCATAGAATTGGTGTTATTCCTCCCAATGTATTGATAGAAAAACGAATCTGGAGATACTAACTTGATTCACCCAGCAAGTAAACCAGGGCCTGGCTTTAGCTCTGGTTTCTGAAAATAAAGCACTCAAACCGTCCACTAAGCCACCTGACATGGGTCCCCATCGCAGGCAGCTGAGGCAGCTGCCTCGGTGACCAGGGATGAGCCGAAGGTCTGGCCATGGCTGCTTCAGTGCCGAGGCAGAGAGAACGCACTGGGAGGAGAAAACTGGCCACAGTTCCTGGACCCCACAAGACCAAAGGCACCAGCCGCGAATGGCGGTAAGTCCTGGAGTGTTTTTGTCTGAAATCATTTCTCCAGGTCTCAACTCAAATAAGATTGAAGCAAGAAAAGGCAGTTCAAGTCTATTATTGTTCAGATTCTAAATAACGCCATGAACAGAAATCTGTGTCTGTAACTAGTTGGTGTCTAGCCTGTTTCTTGTCACATGTGGTTCCGTTTCTGGTAGATGCTCCTGGGAAGATTTCCAGCACTCAGGCCGCACTTCCCTGACCAGCTCCGAAGCCCAGATCAGGGGCTGTGGGTGGAAAGGGGCCTTGTGGAGGCTGATCCCTGTCACTGGGGTCAAACGTTTAAATGTCTAAAGGAGCGGCGAGATGAAGCTGTATCTGTGAAGTGTGCCAGGTAGAAGGCAAGGAAAGCTAAACTGCTGTGTCACCGCCAAGTGCAACATCTGCCGAGAACACAGCCTGCTTCAGGGCAAGAGCTTCTTGGATGATTTATGGGATGGTGCAGGGGTCTCTTTAAAAATACGAATTTTGAGGTCATTCCCTGGGGAGACTGATTCGACAGGCCTAGAGTGGGGCTTAGCAGTTTGTATTTTTAATAAAATCCGTGAGGCAAGTTTGAGGAACTCGGGTTTCATCTGGTGGCTCCCAAATGAGATTGATCATCAGAATTACCTGCGAATCATAAAAATGCAGATTCTGGGACAATCTCCTGAGACGATTCCAATGCAGCCAGATGGGATAGGCAAGCTCCAGTTTTTTGGTTTTTAATTTCTTAAAAAATCAAAATGTCTGGCATGTGGTAAATACTAAGTAATATTTGTTAAGCAATAACTCCTTCCTTCAGAGATACCTTCTTCAAAGTCAAATAGTAAAATCAATAATTAGAAGGGCTCTGCTCCAAGCTGTGAGCCAGCTCAGAGGCCTGGGAGCTTGGAATCTCTTTGCTCCCTGAAAGCTACCCCTAGATCAGCGGTTCTCAACCTGTGGGTCGAGACCTTTTTGGGGGTCGAACGACCCTTTCACAGGGGTCGCCTAAGACCATCCTGCATATCAGATATTTACATTACGATTCATAACAGTAGCAACATTACAGTTATGAAGTAGCAACAAAAATAATTTTATGGTTGGGTCACAACATGAGGAACTGTATTTAAGGGGCCAGAAGGTTGAGAACCACTGCCCTAGATACTGTGGCAAGATCGTTTGAAAATCACTGCTCAAGGCTCTTCTCTCAAGGGGGTGGGGGGGTGGGGAGGAATAATAGTACCAACTAAGTGCTGGGAATTTTCTACATGCTGGAGAGCAGAAATGAGACTGAATCCTAATGTTGATCTAAAAATGAGACCTCTGCCCTGGCCAGTGTAGTTCAATGGATAGAGCACTGGCCTGAGCACCAAAGGGTCCCAGGTTCATTTCACAGCCTTGGTCTCTCACATCGATGTTTCTCTTTCTTCCTCTCTCTCTGCTCCCCTCCCTCTCACTCTCTCTTAAAAAAAAATCATTGAGAAAAAATATTCTCGGGTGAGAATTAACAAAAATAAAAAGAAGAATGAGACCGCTGGACAAAGAAGGGTAGAGACATATGAAAGTGGGGCGGCCAAGTATATATTAACAGCTCGGAGTTTTAATCAGGCTACCTCTAGCCCCCTATCACAGGGGAAGCTAATTAGAACTTGAAGTTGTGACAAAAGATGGTGGCCCAGTAGCTTCCCTGTCTCACCAACAAAACTTTTCTGAGAGTCTCAGATAGGGACTGCCACTTCCACTTGACACGAGAGTGCTCCCTGTTTACTGCATTATCACAAAACAGTGTTTCTCTAAGTGTGGTCTTTCTTCTACTCCAAACTACCAAATGGTAATCTCTGGGGAGCGGGGCCAAGGTTCTGCATTCTAAGGCCCCCCTGGCCCAACCTCAGGGATTCTTAATGCCCAAAAAGTTCGAGGTCCATTACCCTAAAGATACTAGAACAAAGATTTTTTTTTATTACTTTCATGATAGCTTATGCATGTCTCTGAAAAGAAAAATATAAAGAGAACAGCAAAAAGAAAAAGAAATGGCCAGAGAAACGTCATGTTGGTGGAGAAAGTTGAGTTGGACATTCTACTTTCAATACTAAAACTCGGTGTTATGGTCAAAATTCTGCTCCAAAGCTTCTTCCATGTTACATCAGTTTTGACTCATCCTTTGCTACTCCTGGATTACTGCCTTTTTTCATCTTTCTGGGACTTAGAGAGAAAGCAATCGGTGGAAGGAGTCATTTCTTATTTCCCTGAGTAGTAACTTAGGCATAGGCCCCAATTCTCCTTTCAAGGTGGAGGGAAGCTCGCTATGGT